CCGTGCCCCAAAGGTAGGTCCCAGAGGAGAAACGATGGCTGCGAAGAACTCGGGGTCGCTGGGCCTGACACCGGTCGGTGCTGGGTGCCTCAGGGGTGTGGAGATGAGACTGCCGTTTGGGGGGGCGTGAGTATCAGGCAAAGCTGCTGACGTTCGGTTTTCGGCGGTGCTGGGGGCCACGGGGAGGTCCCAGTCGGTGGCTCCGAAGATCTGTAACGTTTCTGTAGACTTGTACACTCAGGGAATGAGTAAGTGCAGCGCTGGGTTGTGGTCAGGGGATCCGCGGGGCACAACTGCGAACGTGCGAGTGAGCCGGGCCCTTCTCTTTCTGGCCCGTATCGGCGTCCTCTGTACTGAAGAGCAGCTCCACTCTCTAGGACACACCCCCACCCCCCAGTCTGCGGTTCCCGTGTGGCTTGTGTAAAGTGCTTCGTGCCTGCATATCACCTGCCGTATCTCTCCACCTATAGTTATCTGAGTCATTTATATCTAACGATGCAGTGCTATGGAAATAGTTGTCATGTTGTATTTTCGTTTGCTGGGGATCGAACTCGGGACCTTACAACTTGGGAGGCAGGTGGCGCCACCACTGAGCTAAATCCCCAGCCCTGTCATTGTATTTTAAGTGGAAATGTCAGGAAATTTTTCTAAATGTTCAGTATGGATGCATTTTTTAAAAATATTTTTGACCTGTGGTTGGCTGAGTCTTCAGGACCCCGTGGTTATGTAGCACTGACTGTATTAGCAATTCCCAACACTTCAAAACCCTAGCCCTCCCCAAGAACTCTCCAGGCAGTGCTGTCCTTTCCTTCTACAACCCACAGTTAGAATTCAAGATCCAGGGTCTGGTTTTAATGGATCATAGCTATTTGACCCCAGTCTACTTTTCCAACCTTAATTCCTCACATTTCTTCTTAAAACGCTCCTGCTTAGTACTTTGTTTGTAAACTATGTCTTAATTTAGTTTCAGCACATCAGAAAGTCTGTTTACCTAACCTGGAAGACTTCGTGCTTGCTAACCTGAGAACGACTCTGGCGGTGGCCCCTTGTGGCGGCGGGAAGCCCACCTCTCTCTCCAGAGTCCTTTTGAGCTCCCTGGACTTGGTCCTGCATGGCAAGGCTGCGATTTGGTGTTATTTCTGCTTTCGTGTTTTGTCCTGTTGCTTCGGCCTTAAGGCTGTGTCCTAAATATTGCTGGGTCCCCTGGTGACAGCTGGGGGAGGTGACAGAAAGGGCACAGCCCAGACCCTGCAACCAAGGGCAGGAGGCGTCAGCACGGGGAGCCAGATGCATGGCATGGCATCACACTCTGATGGGGCAGTGACCCTTCCACGTCAGTTCACAGATGTTTGGCTGCCACCTTGCCAGGTGGCTGGGCATCACGGTGGGCATATCACCCGTGGGTCATAGCAAAGCAGAGATCACAGGAGACAAGTCAGCATCAGATGCCACGCAAACATGCAGAAGCCAAAGGGCACACGAGTCAAAGACCAAACGCAGGAAGTGCATGGGGCCAGTCCGGAAGTCCACAGGGGCAAGGCTAGGGGAGGTGGCTACCGTGACAGGAGTTAACCCAGGAAGGGTGGACGCCCCGGGCGGGTGAGGGCAGACATGGTTAGAACCAGGGATGGGACCAGACGGAACCAGACCAGCAGGAGAGGAGACCTCTGAGACCTGGGCACACGGAGAGAGCTCAGGCCACACCCTTCCCAGAGCAAAACCCGTGCCACAGAGTGGCCAGACACACCAAACACTGACCCAGTGCCTGCTGGGTACTGCCGTCATACCCAACAGAGCTGGACAAGGAGCACAGGGAGAGAACACCCCCAAGAAAGCTGCTTTCATCTCAGAGCAGCTATCCCTAGGAGAGCTTGCAGGTAGAGGTGCTGTGGCGTCCCAGAAGCCTTCCCAGAGAAGTGCAGTGCTGTGTCCGACCCCAGAGTCCCCATCCCCGTGGGCCACGCGTGACAGGGGTCCCACAAGTTCGCGTCCTGCTGATGTCGCAGGTGCGGGGCTCTGATGTCTCCTGATAATGCCCTTCTCTCAAAGCCTTGCAGAAGCTGCCTGCTGCACTGTCCTCTGCCTGCTACACAGGAGCGGGGACAGCAGCCTGGGGAGGAGCCACTCTCTGAGTCTTTCCCAGAATGTGGCCGGAGCCCTCTACTTAGGACAAAGAAAAAACACCTGACAGGCCCATCTTCATCCAAAACTCCGGCCCTGGTTGAGAATCCCTGTACTTATTTGCCCAGCAGGGAGAAATGAATTAAATACATACGTTCTGTCTGTGTTTTGTGGGTGGCTACATTGACAGCTGATTTTGTTCTTGTTTACTAGTTTTAGAATGTGTATTTGACTCTTAGGTAAATTATCTTACTGTTTAAAAATATGGAATATTGACGATATATAAAAGGATTCGTGGATTGTCTGTTGACCCACGTGTTTGGTGTTAATCACCATCGGCCACTTGGAGTCCCGCGTCCCATCCAAGCCCCGTCCCTCAACGGTCATTTGTCCTGCTGGTATTGTCCTTTCCTGGGTACCCAGACACACCCCTAAGCAGTGTTGGCTCTGTTTTGCCTACTGGTTTTTAAGAGTGTGTACGGTGTTGTGGAAGCTAGTCTTGATGGGGCTTGGGTTTAATCAGCAGGACCGTGTGTTCGGCTTTGGTTCTGTCTGTGTAGGCAGGACTGAAGGCTGGGCACTTGGTGTATGATTTCCCTCTTTCACAGTTCTACAGATCAAGTAGTAGAAAGAGAAGCCAAGAAAGCCAGACCATTTTCTTTTCCAGGGATTGTATTTCTGGATAATAGGCAGAGTTATTTAAGGGCCCAAGCCACCTACCTTTAGTTAAAATCGTTTTTTAAAAAATTTATTTTGAGCCGGGTGTGGTGGTGCACGCCTATAATCCCAGCACTGAGGAGGCTGAGGCAGGAGGATCGCTGTGAGTTCAAGACCAGCCTGGGCTACATAGTGAGTTCCAGGACTGTCTCAACTACATAGTGAGACCCCGTCTCAAAACACCAAAAAGAAAAAAATTTTTTTTAAATTTCGAGACAGATGTCACTAAGTTACCTAGGCAAACTTGTGATCCTCCTGCTTCAGCCTCCCTCAGTGCTGGATCCAGGTGCGCACCAGCACCCCAGTTTAGCCTGGGTCTGTACTGCAGTTTCCATTTTCCTCGCCCACTCGTGGACTCACCCACCTTGGCCCCTGGGGCCTTGTCCAGCAAGTGGCTGGTTCCAGGTGAGTCTTAGGGTCTCGCGGTCTTGGGCGCTCACCGTGGTCAGCTCCCTACGAGCTTACCCTGTGGCATCGGGAAGGGGAGGGAGGGTGAGGGCAGCCTCGGTGGGCTGGTGGGGCTGCTGCAGGCCCCGCTGAGACAGAAGACCTGGGCGTTGGCTGGAAAGGCCACATTTTTCCCTGCAGTAGAGCTACGGTTTTAAGAAGTAATAAGTAGCTGTTCGTTAAATCTCCCGAAGCTGTGCCCTGGGAGGGTGCGCCTGTGGCTGTTTTCCTCCTCTGGCCCTGAGAGCCTCCTATACAGCAGCAGGACACGGGGCTCTCTCCAGCAGCACTGTCCCGTCGTCTGGGCGTCACTGATGAATTGCAGCTACTGTAATGAGTGACTGGGTCTTTCCCTGCTGAGCCGACCCCAGAACACAGGCTGCCTCTGGTTTTGCTCCCTGCTGCTATCTCCCCCGCGTCTGGAAAGAGAGGATGTCAGTGAGGGTTTGTTGGGTGACTACAGCTCTGAGGTCAGGAAGCCCGGAGATAGGAGGAGGTATAGCACAGTCCCCTCTTGGGCATTGCTAGAGAAATAACCACGTCTGTGACACAAGCGCAAGGTGGAGAGCGCGGGTGCACGTCAGGCCGTGACAGAAACCACAAAAGACAGGGGAGGAGCAGCTCCTGGGGCCGCGGGGATCTCTAAGGCCTTGTGTGGCCATGGAAGCACTGGGGATGGTGGAGACCCTGGGCCTGTGGGTCATGGCACCCCCGAGGAGGTCCAGGGTGCCATAGGGATGGTGCGGCCTGGCTGAGTGGCAGTGGCATCTCAGCAAATGGCCACGGAGGGCTTTTCACCCATCTGCTCCGGTACCCGCCGCCACAGCTCCCGGGCCTCTGCCGTGGTCAGCCTCCCTCCCTATGCCACGTGCTCCTCCTGCCTCAGCCTCCCGGGTCACCTCCTCCTTGGCTGGCTCCCAGTTCCTCCTGCCCCGAGGTGACTGTATGCTGCTGTCTCCCACTTCCAAGGAACTTCCCTCCCTCCTGCCTTCCCGGGGGAAGGAAGGGCTCACTTCTTATATTTCCACATTTGGCAAGAGCAGGGCTGCAGCGAGTACTTATTGCCTGGAACGATCTGATTGCTGGATGAATGAAGTTTTTCCTCCTAGGAAACATCTGTAACCAGAACATTTCATTTAGGTGAGAGTTTGGGAGTAAAGTGGCACAAAAGAGTGTGGGTGCAAGGACAATGGCAGGGGGTGTTTCTAAAGGAAGAAGAGTTAGGGAGGGAGAGCGGAAGAGAGGCAGGGAAAGACGGAAGGCAGAGGGGCGCCGTAGCAGGATTCTGATGTTGGCCTTGCTGCTCTGGTGGTGGCAGGGTCCTGACAGCGGCCCCTCTGATCCGCGTTGCTCCTGTATTTTCCGTGCCGCCCTCTCCGTGGGAGGCCTCACAATCACAGCCTTGTCCTGCTCTGACTTTGTGGGAGGCTGACGGAAAAGCTCTCTCTGCCCTGGGACCGGGCAGACCAGGCACGCACGTCCCAGCTCTGTGACCCACAGGGACGCGCGCCCTTCCCTGGGAGGTGGGAGTGACCTCCTGGGCGGGCTTCGTCCTCTCTCTCACATCGCAATTGCAGAAGTAGATAATAAACCGAGGATGCAAACGCGTGGAAGGCTGTCGGGCCGCCCCAAGCGGTGAGGTCACAGTGATCTTCCTGTTGAATTATTTGTTCAGTGGACTCCGCTGACGGTGCGGCGCCCGCTCCTGTGTGTCCGCCCTCTTTCAGGAAGGGGCTGACTGCTCCTCCCTTCGCAGGGGCCCTCTGAAGCTCAGGAAGCTGGGGACCCGGCCCTGGGCAGTCATGGCCCTCCCCTTCCAGAAGGAGCTGGAGAAATACAAGAGCATCGATGACGACGAGCTTCTTGGCAAGCTCTCCGAGGAGGAACTGAAGCAGTTGGAAAATGTTCTCGACGACCTAGATCCCGAGGTGGGTGTGCGGGGCAGGCGCGGGCGGCCGGCGATGGCGCAGGACACACGGAGGGGGTGGGCGCCTCCCCGGAGCCGCCTCCTCAGCCACAGGCTAAGGCCCCGATGGCTTGGGCGAGGCAAATGTGTTTCCCCACGGCCAGTGTGGCGGAGGTGAGCAGAAACACTTCCCGCAGAAAGAGCACGGAGAGATGTGAACTTACTGGGGTCCTGTGTGTCACCTCTGCGGGGCACAGAAGCCCTCGGGGAAATCGAGCTATTTCTATATTTTAGACGAGGGACAGACTTGGGGAGGAGTCGTCCTAAAACCCCAGGCCTCCGAGCAGGCCTTGAGCCCGAGATGCAGATTTTTTTTTTGTTTTTGCACCGGGGAACAAACTTGGGTCCTTGCACTTGCAAGCCGGGGAACAAACTTGGGTCCTTGCACTTGCAAGCCGGGCAGCGGCACCACTGAGCTGCCCCACGACCCCCGGTGCAGCTCTTTTAGTATCTCCTCTCTCACGAATGCCTGAGTAACTTGGAGTCCACAGCCCCGCAGTGGCTGGATTCTGTGCTATCCGTGCACAGCCGGGAGCGAAGTGGGGCTCGCGGTACCTTTCTGAGTGAGTGCGCACGAAGCAGCGCGCTGTGCCCCTTTAACAGGCGCCTGTCCTACTCCTGCTGTCCGCAGCTCAGCTGCCCCCAGAGTCAAGCTCTGACTGCAGAGGTGACCCAAAGTGAAATGCTCCACATGGCATTCTGATGGGCCCGGTGCTTCGGGTGTTACATTTACTTTTTAAAATACAAGTCTTCTGTTTCCCTTTTTAAAATCGAGGGTGCAATCTCAAAGCCTGAGAGAGCCCAGGTCCACGTCTCCCAGGGCACTCACCTGCCTGTCTGCAGGAGGCGCTTCGAGTGGGGGACTCCTAGCTGGGGTCCCCCATGTCTGCCAGCAGCACTTTGGGCCCTCACCCAGCCGAACCCAAGTGTGATGAGAGGACGGAGGCCTCTGGCCACCGCATCGCAGACCTGCGAGGGACTTGGGGCGGCCCCAGCCATCCTGCTCTGAGGGGCCTGCCGGGAGCCTCCTTCTGCAGGCACAGGATGAGGACGAGCAGCCGACAGGGGTACAGGGGCGCCGCGGCCTGCACACCCTCTCCCGCTCACACCTCTGTCCCCGCAGAGTGCCACGCGGCCCGCTGGGCTCCGGCAGAAAGACCAGACGCAGAAGGCGGCCACCGGCCCGTTTGACCGTGAGCACCTGCTCATGTACCTGGAGAAGGAGGCGCTGGAGCAGAAGGACAGGGAGGACTTCGTGCCCTTCACTGGGGAGAAGAAAGGTGAGGACCTGTGCAGCGCCCTGGGACAGCGGTGCCCTTGCTCGGTCAGGGAGAGGGTTTGTGGGCCGGGGGCGTCTCTGAGCAGTGGGTGCGAACCTCGGGCACTCAGCCGGCTGCATTGCTACCCTTGAAAGCCCGCAGAGCTTGGCCGTCGCTGTCCACAGCGTGTCCGGCAGCGAGCATGGCCTGAGGTAAACTGCAGACCAGCCGGTGGCATGGCAGGGCGGGGTCCTCCAAGGGCCGTGAGGGCATCGAGAGTGGGGGTTGGGGGAGGACGGGTGGAGGCCGGAGTTCTCCACACTCTGCGCTTCCCTTGGCTGGGAGCCGATGTGAAAACTGCCGCCTGCTGGTGGAGAAGAGCAAGGCAGCGTGCGAGTGAGTCCTGGGTCCTCGAGAAGGTCCTGAACTCTCAAGGCAGAGTGTGCCTGGGCAGCTCCGCCTGAACAGGGGCTTCTGGCTGGTGCTCCACCCCCACCCAGCCCAGGCCCGCTGCCTCATGGGCACAGCCCTGACACCACGCCAGTCACTCATCCAGCCTCTGCCCAGCACCCTCTCCACGCAAAGCTGAGTGCCAGGCACCAGACCAGCTGGGGACCTGCCCTCCAGGTGCGCGGGGTGATGGAGCCAGGAAGGCAGGAGGGCCTGGGGTGTTCCTCCGAGCCAACATACAGCCACTGTCCTGTTTAACGCCCAATCTGAGCTTCCCTTTGGAGGAAGAGTGGGTAACAGTAGCCATCCACACCGGGCATGCTGGCACTTGCCTGTGATCCCAGCTGTGCAGGAGGCTGAGGCAGGAGAATGTCAAGTTCAAACCTGTCATGGGCAACTTAGCCAGATGCTCTCTCAAAATAGAAAAGGGCTGAGGATGCAGCTCAGTGAGAAGGCCCTGGGTTCAAACCCAGTATTGCAAAATAAACAAACGAATGAACAAAAACAGCCTGTCAAACTTCTAGTGCTACAAACAGTGTCCTGGGCCCACAGCCCCTTAATGACCCTGGGCTACCTAGATCACATCGCCTCTTACACTCCAGCCCCTCCCTGTGGTCGCCAGGGGGCGTGGCCTCCCAGAAGTGTCCCCTGCCCTGGCTAGGCCCAGCCCCACCTGGCCACGCCCCTCCAGGACCTGCACAGGCCTCCTAGGCGCTTTGGCCCTGGACCATGTGCCTGTGTGCCTGTCCTGAGACTCTGGTTGTAGAAGTCAGCCTCTGGCTTCCTCGTCTCTCTGTCACGCACCCGGATCGACTGACTGCCTGACATCACTGCCCTCGCCCTTTCTCCGTCCAGTCTTGGTAGGGATTCCACAGTGGGGCAGGTCTCCCTTGGCACAGGAGAGGAGTTCAGGAAGGGCTGGCTCAAGGGTCCGCAAGGCAGAGCCTGCCCCAGGCACGTCTGACAGACGTTGCGCTATTGAGAACGCTGCTAAGAAAGTAAGGTCAGACAGTGGCAAATCGGGTAAATTACCTGGGTTAGTTTGGAAATAAAGAGCTGCTTCTATGGCAGCACGGTTGCTACTGAACTAAATGAAATGTGAAACAATGAAATTACAATGAAAAATTTTCAATCAACATGGAGTGAAGAGGGAGAAAGCTGCAGTCTTGGGCTTGGCGCAGAGGTCTCCACATATCAAGGTGATGGTCTCAGAGTCCAGATCAGCTGCAGGTGGCTGCGGAGAAGTAGGAGCCAGGGACAGACCGGCATGGAGACTAGGGCCGCAGGAGGCTGGGGCGCACACTGCAGCCCCCACAGCCGTGTGGCAGCCACTGCAGGTCCCGGGCTGGGCTCACCCTCGGGGCTGCGCCAGCGTCGGCTGGACCTCGTCAGCCACCAGCCCCGGTCAGGGCCCTGCCCCTGTGTTTAGGGTCCTCGGGAGCAGTGCGGGAAGGAGGACTTAGGAGCCCCGCGGTGACGCAGACCCAAGATGTTCCCGGCTGTCGCTGCTCTGAAAGAGACGTCTGGGGTGGCGCCGGGCCCCGTTTCCTGGCCGGCTTCTCCCACTTCCTCCTGCCCCTCGGGTGCCCTCCTTCCAGGAAGTGTGGGGCGTCGGCTGCCAGGGTGCGGGGAGCAGAGCTCCTCGGTGCAGGAGGGGTCAGTGTCTCAGGCTGGAGTGGGAGAAAGGTCGGCCTGAGGTGGCGCAGGGCCTGAGGGGACACAGCCGCACCGTTGGCTCTGTTGTAAGGACCATGGTCTCGGTGATGGGCACGGACTCCTCTTTGAGTGCTCCCACCTTCTGGCTGTGGATTCCTGCCTGGCCTTAGCCTCGTCCCAAGATTCAGGAGCTGCATGGCTGTGAACCTGTTTCCGGTCCAGTTCTCTGAGACCAGGGCCTCATGTTTTCTCTTCTGATTTAAGGGAGAGTCTTCATCCCCAAGGAAAAGCCCGTGGAAACTCAGCAAGAAGAAAAAGTGACCCTGGACCCGGAGCTGGAGGAAGCTTTGGCCAGCGCCTCCGACACAGAGCTCTACAACCTCGCAGGTGAGCCCCAGCCCGCCCCCAGCTGGCCACTGCGCTGCCCTCCGCCATGGGAGGCCGGAGGTCACCCGAGCAGGTGCCGTGGTGCAGCCCTGGCGTTGTCCTGCCAGAGGACTCCTGGGCAGACGCAAGAGTCCCAGGAAACGCCTAGGAAGGAGGGGAAAGCACAGGAAGACCTGAGTCCCTGCAGTGAAACCGGTGCGGTAACGCAGTGGACACTGCCCTCCGCACGTCACGGGCTCCCCAGAACTCAGGGCCCCGCAGGTGTAGACGAGAGTCCATGCACTGCCTAGTCACTCGGCAGGTGACAGGAGACGAGAGGAGGGGCTGGCAGGGCTGGCAGTGGGTCTCTATGGCAACGCCTCCTGGGCTGTTACCATCCAGAGGCTGGCTGGAGGCTGGCTGGTCTAGAGATTTGACCCTGCTGTCAGTGTACACAGCAGCCGCCCGTTTGGAGGGAGTAGTGGGCTGGATCTGTTAGCCAGATTCACAGCAAAAGCATCAAACAGAAATTAAAACTTGGGCTAGGTGTGCAGCTGTAGTCCCAGCAACTTGGGAGACTGAGGCAGGAGGATAGCTTGAGCCTAGGAGTTAGGGCCAGCCCAGGCAACACAGTGAGTCCTCCTCTTTTAAAAATTAAGTAAGGGGAGCTGAGTATGGTTTCTCGTACCTATAATCCCAGTTGCTTAGGAGGCTGAGGCAGGGGGATTGTAAATTCAACACCAGCCTGGACAACTCATCGAGCTCCTGTCTCAAAAAATAAAAGGGCGGCCGGGCGTGGCGGCGCACTTCTGTAATCCCAGCACTCGGGAGGCTGAGGCAGGAGGATTGCTGTGAGTTGACACCAGTCTGGGCTACATAGTGAGTTCCAGGCCAGTCTCAACTACATAGTGAGACCCTGTCTCAAAAAACCAGAAAATAAAATAAACTAAATAGAAGGGCAGTGGGTTGGGCTCAGTCGTGGAGCCCTGGATTCAGTCCTTGGCATGAACCAACCCACCCCACCAACCTTAGCCACTGAGCCCAGTTACCAAGGAAAAGCTGCTCAGCGGTCACAGGGCCAGGTGTGCCCTGTGCTTATCCAGAGGGCACCTTTGCTGGGTGCATTCCTAGCTGTGCAGGAGGCTGAGGCAGGAAGATCGCCTGACCTGGACAATTTAAGCAAAACTCTGCCCTCCAGAAATCAAAAGGTGGTTTCATAGTCCAAGGCCAGTCTGAACTACAGAGCCTGTCTCAAAAGAAATTACAAATAAGGACCAGGGGGTTTAGCTCAGTGGCACCGCACCTGCCTGGCAAGCACAAGGTCCTGAGTTTGATCCCCAGTATCACGAAAGACAGACAGACAGAAAGAAGGAAGGAAGAAATTAAAAATAAAATGGGCTGAAGATACTGCTCAGTTCCCCTGGGTTCAATTCCTATTTCCAGAGGCAGAGACAGACAGCTAGACGTTCTCCCTAGATAATGCTGGAGGCACGATGACAGTGCTTAGGTGTCTTAACGAGAATGTGTAAAGCCCATAAAGAGCGCCTGACACACAGGAGGAAGTCATTTGCTCTCCGAGTAGGTCCGGCGTCATTCGCATCCCCTTGTACAAATGAGGACCATCCACAGGTGACAGGTTGGTTCCTCACAGCCCCCGAGGGCTGCCTCTCTCCTCCTCGCTGGTCCCGGTCGCCCTGCCCCTTCTGCTGCCAGGAGCTGGGGCTCCACTCAGCGCTTCCCCAACCAGGGGCCACCTGGGTCCCTCCTGCCGCCCTGTGCTGTGCTGCCCCCTGGTGCCAGCTCTGAGTATCACGACACTAATTACAGGCTCTTCAGCTGCCCTTCGGGGGGCAGGGCTGCTGCATCTGTCCCCACCCTAGAGGCTGAAGGCCTTTTAGTACCCAGACACGGGGAGGCCTGCATGAAAAAGGACCGAGATTTTTCTGGTTTTGCCTCTGAAAAAAATATATGCAATCACCTAGATAATGTTAGACCATAAGACCTTTGACTCTCCATTGTAGGAGAATGGACGTGTCGCCTTGAGACCATGGTAAGTGAAAAAGCGGACACACAGATTAAAGATCACATGGCTTCTCTTACATGAGCAGCCCAAAGTATAAATAAATTAAAGAGCAAAAGAAAAGGCAGACAGTAGGGGCTAGGAGATAGAAGCACAAGGGTGAAAAGCGGAATCAGTGTGTTCTGTGCATGGACCGGCTCCCCGCTGAATGTGCCGCTGTGTGCTGCAGACACAGCGGACAAAAATTCAGAAGTTTGAGGAAAAACCGCTTTGACTTGTTTTATACACGTCAGAAAACGGAATGGTGCGGTCTGCCTAACTAGGGTCTGCTGCAGCAGCAGAGGCTGTAACTAGGCTGTTGTTTCCCAGGCCCTGAACGAGTCCGCTCGTTGGCACACAGAGGCGTGAGGACCGCTGGGGTAGGAGGAGGCTATGAATGTCCTCCATGGGTAAGAAAGGGACGCGGACCCCGGTCCCGCAGAGAGCGGCGCTGGGGGAGTGAACCGCGTGACCTCATCTCCAATGCCTTTGTTCCCAGCCGTCCTTGGAGTACACACCTTGCTCAACAATCCAAAGTTTGATGAAGAAACAGCCAACGGCAAAGGCGGCAAGGGCCCTGTGAGGAGTAAGTCGCTGGGGGCTGGAAGGCTCGGGGGAGAGGCCCTTTGGGCCAGGGCCCTGCAGCCTGGGCTCCGTCCTACAGCCCGGAGCAGAAGACCCGGTGGGAGAAGCCGGCCGCTCCGTCCGGCTGGCTGGCAGTGTGACAAGCGCAGATGGGTTTTGCCCAGGACACACTTTCGTGGCTGGCCTGTTCAGCCAGAAGAGAGGGGCTGCCTGTTCGGCTCTGAATGCAGATTAGGAAAAGATGGTAGCTCCTCTCCTGAGGTGTGACTGAAGAGGGGAATGAATGTTTAGGCTTTCAAAAGTTTACTACAGAAAAGACACGCTAGTGTCCTCATGTGGACAGCCTATTTCTCCTGTAGGTTAGACTTCCAGATTTAGAATCGGCAGGCCATATAGCGCATTTTAAATGTTGGTCGATAATATCAGGAGGCTGAGGCAGGAAGGTTGCAGCAAGTTCGAGGACATCCTGGACTACACAGGGAGACCAAAAAAAAATTAAAAATTACTCTCCCAAAAAGTTTACTGGCCCACCAATAATACTCAGAGATGCCTCCCCCACATCGTGGCCAGCTCTGTCATCTCCCTTACATTTTCTTACTAAGGAAATGATATCCCATTTTCCATTTTGGAGCTTCGTTCCTTGTTCTTGTTTTTAGTTAAGCACCAGAGTCTTCTTGAATGTATTGTTTATATTTATTTATTTTTCCCATATGTATTGTGTATTTTTAATTGTGCTGTTTATTGATTGGCAGTAACTTGTGTATCAGGTTATTAACCTCTGTGTGTTTCACATGTATTCCACACATCTTCTGTCAGATTCCCTTTGAGATATCTTGGGTTCTTTCCCACCCCTTCGTTTTTCCATACCTTCCTCAAAACTAAAACTCCAAAATGGAAATCAGAAGAGGGCAGGGTGGGGTCATGCAGCTGGGGGTGTAGCAAGACTTGAGAAATTGAAGCCAGGTGTGGAAGCGCACTCCTGCCAACCCAGCACTCAGGAGGCTGAGGCAGGAGGATCGCTGCGAGTTTGAGGCCAATGTGGGCTCCATAGTAAGTTCAAGGCCAGCCTGGACCACATAGTGAGCCCCTGTCTCAGAAAACAAACTATGACTCAGTGCTGTCCCACACCCGTGCCCACTCAGCCAAGGATGAGCTCCCTGTTCCTGGAACGTCACTGGGGTCAGGGCCCATGAAAGAATTCTCGTTCGGGGGTGCGCGAGATCTTTAGGTGACAGGTGAGCACTCGTGTTTCCTTTTTAAAGTTAAAATTTGTGTTGCAGATGTGGTGAAAGGCGAGAAGGTCAAGCCAGTGTTTGAGGAGCCTCCCAACCCCACCAACGTGGAAGTCAGTCTGCAGCAGATGAGGGCCAACGACCCCAGCCTGCAGGAAGTGAACCTCAACAACATCAAGGTACCCACGGCGACGCCCGCCATGGCCGTGCTCGCGGTGGATTCTGAGGTGCGATGCCCTCCTCACAGAAGTAGGGTCTGAATAGAACGACTTCTAGAATGTTCTGAAAGGAAACGGCTCCAGCTCAGAGCTGGCGCCGCGCACGCAGCTTTGTCTGCCTGCAGGCGAGAGTGGCTCTGAGAGGCTCTCAGGGCCGATGACCCTGCCATGAGGGTGGCTGTCGTCAGCAGTGTCCTCCGTCCCAGCCCAGCCTCTCTGAGGGCCGCCTGGTCCTCACCTGTGACTTCCTCACCGGGAGTGAGCTCCCTGGGGACAGCGGGGCACAGGGAGCAGAGGCCCCAGCACCGGGCTCAGGAGTGTCTGAGTTGTCACATCGCCCTCGGGAAGGGGAGCGCGTGTGTGCATGCACACGCATGTGTGCACAGACACCCCCTGAGGTTTGTCCCGTTGGTGCCCCTGGGGCAGATTCCCGGAGTCCAGTGACGCTTTCCCTGTTACCTCATCTCGTCCTCGGTGAGGGACAAAGCCGTTGAGTTGCTGGGTCACACAGCGAGGCAGCGTGCGACCAGGACCGCTGTCCTGCCAGCCAGGCCCATGTCACCTCCCTCCCCAGGCCAGCGCTGAGCTCCGTGAGGTAACCGAGGCCAGAAGGGTTCATGGAGCCTTTCAGCACCTGCATTAGGAGAGAAACACGAAGCCAGCAATCGCACTGCGAGGCGGCAGCCCCTGCCGCTGGGATTGTAGGGAGGGAGATTTTAGGGCTGCCTGGGAGCCAGCAGCCAGGAGGGCGATTCCTGCTGGGCCCTGAGAGATGAGCAGGACTGAGAAAAAGGGCCGAAGGGAGTTTCAGCGAAAAGGAAAACCTGCCTAAGGGAGTGCGGGATGGACCGCGAAGGGAGGAGCGGCCAGGGGCCGGGGGTGGGGGGCTGCGATCTAGAGGATGGAGGGAGACAGAGGCAGCGCCCGCCGGGCTATGCCTTGGGGAAACCCGGTCCCGGGTGGGCAGTAGGCGCCCAGGCCTGACCTCTCCAAGCCTCGGGTGGTGCCGGGGTGGACGGTGCCAGGCTCTGTGCAGCCCAGGGCGCCGCGTGTGCCTGAGCCGTGTCCCCTGTGCCGCAGAGCATCCCGATTCCCACCCTGAAGGACTTCGCCAAGGTGCTGGAGACCAACATGCACGTGCAGAAGTTCAGCCTGGCCGCCACCCGCAGCAACGACGCCGTGGCCGTGGTGAGTGCGTCCTCCTGCAGGTCCGCTGCTCTCCCTGCCGTCACTCGCGGCTCTCTGGACGCGTCAGTAAGCACTGGACCCGACCCCTGTTCTTGGTTCGTTTTGTTTTAGTACCGGGGATCAACTCGGGCCTTTGCGCTTGCGAAGCAGGCCCCGGAACCATTGAGCCAAATCCCCGGCCCTTTTGTTTTGTTTTTAAATCTACATATTTGTTGTTTAATCCACAAGCTTCATATAGCTTTAGTTTAAAAACAAAAACAAATACAGTGAAACCAAGACACTATTTCAAAGTCCGGGCCCTTCCAGCTTCCAAATACAAGAGCTCTGAACATTATATATCTGAATTGGGAGAATAAGACAGAAATCTGAATGGAGCGGTGACGTTTCAGAAAACCAAAATCTCAGGGAGCTAAAGGATCCTTCCCGGGAGGAGCTAACTGCCTTTTCAAGGGGCGAGGGAGGAAGGCGGGGGGCTGCCTGGGTGGGGGCAGAGCAGGCTGCAGTCCGGTGCCAATGTTCGAAATCACCTTGTTACACACCCACGTAAGTCTAGTATCCTGGAAAACGTGCTGTCATTTTTCTGTCTCATCCTAGAGCTCAAACCCTGGTGCATTTCAGCAGCAGTTTCACAGGCAGCAGGAAACATCGCAGCCTTAGACTATTCATTTATATTTTTGTGGTATTTCAGCAGTGGCCTTATTTCTGGACAAGCTTACAACCCATACAAGGTTGGAAGCATAATTTAAATGGGTGTGAAGACTCAAATGATTTTTTTTTTTAAGAAAAAAGAAAAGGGTTGACCCCGTCCTCTACCCATGACCCCTCACCACACTGTCGCTGTGATACTATGCGGGGTGTGCTGAGATTTGTCCCTGCTGCAAGAAATGAGAGCCACGTGTGGTGGTGTACACCTGTAATCTCAGCACTGGGGAGGCTGAGGCAGGAGGGTTGCCATGAGATCAAGGCCAGCCTGGGCCAGAGAGGGAGGGAGAAATGAACAAACTGAAGCCCAGACAGATGAAGTAAGTCATCCACGTCCCACAGCCAGTAAGGACAGAATCAGGGCTCACTTGAGGTCACTGTGGCTCCCGGCTGGGCCATGGCCCATCCCACTTTGACTCGAAGCCTGGCTGTCACACACTTCCTAAATACCGTTGTCAGTCAGGGACCCGGACCTCCCACTGTGCTCCAGCTTCTGCCATGAGTCCAGCTCGGAAGACAGATGCTGTCTGACTGGACGGCTTGATGTAAAGCAGCACATCTTTGGTAGATGAAAATTTTTAAGACAGACGCTGGGGAAGTGTGACTGCTATCAGTGGTGCCAGCATCGTTAAATGAACGAATTGTCACGACCCCCAACCTCAGCAACGGAGACTATGCCTGTGGTCACGTCAGCAAACGTGAAATGAGCACACGTGTAGGAGACCCAGGCTACAAAAGTGATATTCTTGCCAGCCGTGACTATATACCCCAATGTGTGAGTTGAGAGCAATTTTGAACTTGAAATCTGTCATCAAAATAAAAAAGAGCTGGCCATGGTGGTGCACTCCTGTAATCCCAGCACTAGGGAGCCTGAGGCAGGAGGATCCCTGTGTGTTCAGGGCCAGCCTGAGCTACATAGTGAGACCCTGTAAAAAGCAAATGAAACAATAATAATAAAATAAGATAGGAAAATAGCAGAACCATATCATTGGTAGGTTACAGTGAGCAGTTAAGGGATTCTCATCTGTGTAGGATTTGTATCATCTCTGCCAGTAAGTAGATTTGTTTAAAAACAAACATATTCACAGTGCACTCTGAGTACGAGTGAATAAAGGGATGAACAAAGAGAGGACTTTCTGCTTCTGTTTAGGGCTGCGGTGTGGGACTGTGGGGTGGGCACAGCTGCAGGCCTGCTGTCACGCTGGCCTCACGCTGGTCCCCTCCCGCCCCGCAGATGGCGTGCTGGTGCTGAGTAAACGCCAGACGCGGTCTCCTCACAGCTGCTTTCAATGCCCCGCTCCACGTCGGAGGCCCAGCGTGTGACGGGCGCCAGGACAGAAATGAGCGGCACTTGCAGGAAAATTGGGTCTCTTTTGTCACTTGTTTTAAAGAATAACTGGCTTGGTCCAGTCGCCTAAGCCGGTGCGACAGAAGGACCGCAGAATGAGTGAAGTACGTGTTTCATGCACTGTCCACCGTGTCTTCACCTGAAAATCACCCCTTTCCTTCCGAGTGACCGAGGTACCACACCACCCGGCCCCTCACTGCCCCTTCCCAGCCAAGGGTAAACAGAACGGAAGCAGAACCAAGGAAGGAAGCTAGGGGCTAGGGAACATTGACTCTTTTCTTTTTCTGTTTTGTTCTGTTTTTTGAGAAAGGGTCTCGCTTTGTAGTTCAAGCTGAACTTACAGAGATCCTCCTGCCTCGGCCTCCCTAGGGCTGAGATGACAGGTGTGCTAGGGAACATTTTCTCTGGCCCTGAGTTTCATCAGAAGCCCTGTGAGAAAGCCCTCATTTTAAGGGTCCTGACGTGTGACAAGGAGGTGTTCGTAGTGGATCCTACCCTGCTTTCCCAGGATTGGTTCGTCCTGCTTCCTCCGGGGGTCCCAGAGCACTGGATCACTGGCATCCGTGCCCCGCAGGTCCCCGTCGAAGGCTGCTTGCATTCAGTAGGAAAACCTTCGCTTTCAGGGTTTGTGTAATGAGACGTAATTACGTTATCTCAGTACAGTATTTTAAAATCACCATGGCTGGGCACGAAGCTCAGTGGAGAATGCTTGCCTAGTGTGCACAAGTCCTTTAGTTCGATCCTAGTATTGCCCACATTTTTAAAAAATTATATTTAAAATCACTTTTCCAGAGCCTTATAATTATGGCTGTTACCATTACTCACTGTTAAAAATTACCACTGAGCCAAGCCAGGGGTAGTGAGGCTTAGGCTGAGGCAGGAGGATCCCCATGGGGTTGAGGCCAGCCTGGGCTACATAGTGAGACTGACCCCATCTCAAAAAAAAAAAAAGAAAGAAAGAAGAAAAAAGAAATCCATGTGTCATTTTAAATTATAGGCACATTAGAAAAAATACAAAGGAAATTATAATCCCAGCACTCAGGAGGCTGAGGCAGGAGGATCCTAAATTGAGGCCATCCTGGACTACATAGCAAGACCAGTCTCAAAGAAGAAGGAGGGGTAGAAGGAGAAGGGGAAGGGGAAGAAGGGGATGCAAAGGAAGAGAAAATAGGAAAAACAAAATCAATAAGTTAATGTTAGTATTCCACTTAAACTCATGCATTCAAAATGGAACTTTGAAACACAACTCTTTCCCCCTTGTGGCATCTTTGCCAAGGGCCCACAAGGTACAAGCTTCTCATAGTGACCGCTATGAAATTACATTTTCGTACAATCCTGGAAAGTACCAAAAGCATGACTTTCTTTTCAGAGTGCTTTTCTGCTCTGATTGTTTCTGTGACATTTGTGAACCCTCGCCTGTGTCTTCCTGACACCATCGTCCCCAGCAGGCAGGAAGGACAGCTGGTGGTGTGGGCGGGGCCTCTGCTCTTCTGCCCGGCGACACCTTGTTCTGAAGCTGACCGGTGGGTGAGGAAAGGCTCCACGCTTTCCCATCTGCGGCTCTGCTTCCATGGCTCTTGCGTTTTCTGTTTTGTTTTGCTTTGATTTTTTTTTCTTGCACCAGGGGATCAGACTCGAGACCTTGTGCTTGTGAGGCAGGCGGCGGAAGCACCGAGCTGCGTCCCTAGTCCCTTCCCGAGTGTGTAATTGATTGATAAATGCACTTTCGTGTGCAGGCGGCCTCGCCTTCCATCCACACCCCGCGCTGCCTCCGCAGCTCATGCCACTGCCTGGCGAGGCCCCGATGCTTCTCCAGTGAGGCTGGCATCCGGGCACTGTGGCGTCGCGGGGACCTTGGCAGTGCCTGCAGGGGTTCGGGTGTCAGGCTGGGCAGTGCACTGCGCCTCCGCCCGCTGGTGGCCCGCTGGTGGCCTGCTGGTGGCCGTGTCCTCACAGGAGCCTTTCTGCCTTCATTCTGCTCAGCAGTTCGTGGTGCCTTCAGTGCGTGAAACTTTTCCCATTGGTTGGTTATTCGAGAGTTTCTCTTTTTCTCATCTTTTTAAATGTATTTTTTGGTCCTCCCAGAACTCCTCTGGGGTTTATGTTGGACCTTTACCTCTTTCCTCCATTTCGCCCTGACATTTTCTACCCACATCCTGAGAAATATCCTCAGCCTTATCTTCCAACTTACTGTGCTCATTTTATAATTCCAATGCTTATTACTCTCTTCTATCTCAGCAGGGTGTTTTTAATTTTCATAATGTTTCTTATTATTCTTTTTAAAATATATAACACAGTGGGTGCAGTTGTACTCACCTGTAATCCCAGCATTTGGGAGGCTGAGGCAGGAGGATGGCTATGAGTGTGAGGCTGGCCTTGGCTACATAGTGAGATCCTGTCTCAAAAAAACACAAAATAGTAGTAATAATAATGATATAGGGTAACCCATTTTCCGGCCCCTTTCTGTCTCTCTTAGACAGAAACCATCTTTCTCTCAATGAATTTTTCCTACTTTTAAAAGTAGTAATAGGGCCGGGGATTTAGCTCGGTGGTGCCTCTGCCTGCTTCGCAAGTCCCGGGTTTGATCCCCAGTACCAACAACAACAATAACAATGAAGATGATGATGATGATGCTAACCCTACCAGCCAGTATCTAGTCTGTTTACAGTGCCTCTCCCTTCTCGCTCTTACGGGGGTGGTGAGGGAGGGCTGAGTGACTGTACTTAGATCAGCAGAGCATCCACTCGGATTTTGCTCCCCCTCTGTACAGCGGAGAGCACTGGCTGCCCCTTGCTATTTACCTGTGTAAATAGAATCATTTCTTCTGCATCCGTGAAGATCTGTCACGCTGCAGGCTTTCCTCCCCAAGGGAGCCTCTTCGTTGCTCTGCACTGGTTGCCTCTGACAGGTTGGCTGCTGTAGTTATTCTCTCTGCCCTCACACTTGGTGTCAGCTCCCAGGACAAGGCTTTGTCTCCTCTACTGCCAGAGCAGCCTGGAACCCACGGTTTTCGGGATGGACCGTGGGGGGGCGCACTTTCCAGCAGACTGAGCTGCCCGTGGCCTTCTCTGTGGTGGTCTGCGGTGCCCCCATCCACCCCTCCATCCAGGCTGCTGCAGTTGGGGGGCTGCGCTCTGCATCCTGGTGTCGCAGACAGCTGAGTTAGGTAGAAATATCCCAGGCAGGCAGGGCTGGGCTCTCAGAATTAGCACAGAGGGTGAGAACACCTCACAGCTATGGCTGGAGGTGCAGCTGTTGGAGGCCAGGCCTCCAGATAATGACAGAATGACCAGGTCTGCGTGCCTTCCTCAGGATGAGCGATAACTTGAGATTACATTGTAGATGGCATCACCGGGTCCAGTAAGGCCCAGACAGGCATTGGTCGGCCTGGTAGGTGAGCAGGGCCTCCCGACCCTTCCTTAAGGGTCTGTTCCTTCCCTGCACCCCTGCTCCCCGACCTGCTCCCCCAGTGGATCAATATCACCGAAGTGACCCTACTTACAAACTTACTGGTTGATCACAGTTTTGATCCACGCTTTTCCACCGTCCTGATTTTGCTCTATTAAGCTTTTTTTAAATTTTTGGTACTGGGGATCAAACTGGGGTCCTTGTGCTTGCGAGGCAGGTGGCAGAACCACTGAGCCAAAGCCCCGGCCTATAAAACATTCTTAGAGTAGTGACCTTGGTGGCACCCACTTTTGGGTGCCCTGCTCTCCCTTGGGAGCTGCCTCTTAATCTCTCCTACTCTGAACCTCCATTGTGACCTGGAATTTATCGATTTCGGGGGCAGGAATCCAGGTGCCTGGCACCTCACAGATCAGGAGGGCACCACTCTGCTCCTCCTCTGAAGGCCTCTGTCTCCATCCAGTCCCTCTGCCCCGGCTGCCCCTTTCCGGGAGGCTTCTGCAGAGGTGCTGCCATCCCCAGCTGCTGCAGCCCTCCCCGTCTGCCCTGCTGTGTCCCTAACAAACTCCTAAAATATTTGGCACACAGAGAATGATCGCACCTGTTCCCAGTGCACAGCGTGACATTGTGATACTTTGAGGTACACATGTGGTGACACGGTCAGGGGTAGTACGCGTGGTCCCCAGCTCAAGCTGTCAGCCTCTCTTTGTGTGGGTGACTCATCCCTGCTGTTTTGAACAGTAACACACACATTACTGACTGCAGTTACGGAACTCAGAAATTCGCTCACCCTAACTCTGATCCGGTGCCTGCTAGCAGCCCTCTCTCCTCCCCATGCCTTACCCGCTCTGGTGACTCTGCCCACTGTCACTGGCTCTAGGATGAACTTTTTTAGCTTCCAGATACGCGTGGGAACTTGAAGAGCTTGTGCCCTTTGTCTCCACACCTGGGTTACGTCCTGTCCTGTAGCCTAACATCCCGTAGCCTAACTTGCCTCCGTGCCGCCCTGAACCACAGGGTCCGTTCTTAGCTGTGGATGAACCGTATCCCGGGAAGAGTCTGTATCATGTGGCCTTTACCCACCCAGCCCGACGGAGACTCAGGTCAAAACTATCATGTGGCCGGGTGCACATCCAGAGGGTAAACACCTCAAGGGCAGAAAAATGAGCAAACCACCTGAATGGACGTCCTCAGAAGACATACGAATAACCAGCCCGAGTATAGGAAAAAGGGCTGTGAATCAAAGCCACTGTGAGACACATCTCCCTGCTCCAAGAGCTGCCGTCAGAGGTGGGGCTGGGGCTGCACACTCGTGGAGCACGCAGTGGCCCTGGGCTCGTTAAAAAAAATGACAGATGGTGCTGACAGTGTGGAGAAAGAGAAACTTTTTGTGGGGAGACAGGGTCTTGCTGTTAGTTCAGTCTATCCTCCAACTTGCAACGTAGCCCAGGCTGGCCTTGAACTCATGGTGATCCTCCTGCCTCAGCCTCCCAAGTATTGGGATTACAGGTGTGTGCTGCCACACCTGGCAAAAGAAACTTTTGTGCACTATATATGGAAATGAAAGTCCACACAGCCATTATAGAAAATAGGATGGAGATTCCCAAAACAAGAGACTGCGGCCTTTTGTTTTGTTTTGTTTTGTTGCACTGTGACAGTTTCAGTTTCTGAACTGAACACATAACGTGTGTGAGGGGGGTACTGATGAACCCCACTGAGCTACAGCCCCAGCCCCTTTTATTTTTTTTAAGACAGGTCTGGCTGTGTAGCCCAACTGGGACTTGAATTTGCAATCCTCCTGCCTCAGCCTCCCAAGTGCTGGGATTACAAGTCTGCACCACAATTCCAGATTGAAAACCTCTATCTTTTCTTCATGGTGACAGGAGACAGAGGAACAAGCAATGTACATCTGCAGTCTGTGATCACAAACTGGACTCTTGTGGCTCCCTCATTCTGAGTGGTGTCTTGGTACCAGAAATTGCCCTAAGGTTTCTGACTATGGCTGATCTGAATATACTAATCCAGGGTGCCCAAAGGCTAGGCACTGGGAAGGGTGGTTGTTTTTATTTTTTTGTTTTTGGAGGGGTTTTTTTTTTGGTACCGGGGATCGAACTCTGGCCCTTGCACTTGCGAGGCAGATAGCAGACCCACTGAGCCAAACCCTAGCCTGGATGGTTGTTTTTAAAACCATTCATACTAAAAGAAAAAAGATAATTCTGGGCTTATATCCTTTCTACTTTTTTCCTAATATTAAATGTCTTTTCTTAAAAAGCAATGATAATAGGTGATACCAGTTTTTTTTCATGTGCTCACTTTTAAAGAGTTGTGAATCCTATGTCAGTGTATTTTTAAATTTGCAGGTATATGAAATTTGTAAGATTAGACTAGCCTAAAGTCTTTTTATTGCAGTGTTTGTTGTTGTTGTTGCTTATTTATTTTGAGACAGGGTCTTGCTATGTAGTCCAGGCTGGCCTTTAGCTCACTAGGTAGCCCGGGCTGGCCTCGAATTCACAGGGATCCTCCTGCCTCAGCTTCCGGAGTGCTGGGCTTATAGGTGTCCACCACCACACCCAGCCATCCATTGCAGCTTTAAAGCACCTTTTCTACTTGGAGGTAACTTTGACAAAAGTTACTTCATGTGCTGTAAAATCTGTATTTTGGGGAGTGAGAAATGCACTAAATCAGCCTTTAGCAACCCTAACCGTTTGTTTATCTCGGCACTGTAAGGCTTTTGCAGAGATGTTGAAAGTGAACAAGACTTTGAAAAGCCTGAATGTAGAGTCCAACTTCATCACAGGTGCGGGGATCCTGGCCCTGGTGGAGGCACTTAGGGAAAACGACAGCTTGACGGAGATCAAGATCGACAACCAGGTGAGGAGCGGGGCGGCCAAGCCCGTGGCTGACCACATAGTGCTCAGTGTCCGTGGCTGCTCTGCGTGGTCACCGTCATCTCTGCCATTTAGTACGAATCTCAGCCCCGCACGGTGCCTGCCTGTTGTGGCTAGAAGGAGAAAGCAGGGTGGCCGTGCCCAGGTCTGAGCCCTCCTGTCCTCAGAGCCCCCAGAGAGCTGTCAGGGCTGGGAAGACACCTGGCTTCAAGTGCCGGCCACACCCTCAGTGGTCAGTCTACGGCCACCACCACTGCTCCTTATGCTGCCGCCACATCCTGTGCCTGGGCCACCGGGGGCAGGCCACGCTGTCTCTGACAGGCCCTGCGCCTTCTCACACCTCTACAGTCATGTGGTCTCCCATACTTGTCACACACATCTGCGGTGGCAGTGTATGTTTGGGAGATGTGTTTGTTTTTCCTTAACATTAGCTTTTCGTGTTGGCAGGGACGCGTCTGCCTCCTTACGATGGTCACCCAGCTCTCTGAACAGCGAGGGCCGGCTGGCACTGTCGCTGGCTTCCAGTTCACCAGTCTGAGCCTCGGGGCCCGCTGGCCCTGTGTCCAGTTCTCCCGGGCATTTCTACACCTAGACTGAGGGCCTGGGGGCTGCTTTAAGACAGTTCCACTGTTTAAAAGGAAAAAAAATACATTTAAAACCAATACTGGGATAATTTGGAAATACCTAACATTAGCTTTACTTTAACCTGACCTGTGGAATTACCTTTTTTTTATTAGAGCTTCAACCCAGGGTCCTCCACACCTGCAGCCATTTTTTGAGACGGGGTCTCATTATGTAGTTGAGTCTGACCTAGAACTCACTATGTAGCCCAGGCTGGTTTCAAACTCACAGTGCTCCTCCTGCCTCAGCCTCCCCAGTGCTGGGATTACAAGCGTGCACCACCACGCCCAGCGTATTTTCTTTATTTTGAGGCAGTGTCCTGCTGAGCTGCCCAGGCTGGCCTCACACCTCTGACCCTCCTGCTTCAGCCTCCCTCAACTCTAGGACTGCAGGCACATGCCTCTTTTTTCCGTTTTGGATGCCAGCAGATTCAGCTGTCTGTCTGGACCTTGCTTCTGGAACCAGACAGAAGGACTCTCACGACCCACAGGGAAAACTTCTCAAATAACCGTTTCTTTTTTGCCCACGTCGCCGCGCGTCCTTCGTGCGCCGGTAACAGTTTCCTCTTCCTTCCTGCTTGTCCCAGAGGCAGCAGCTGGGAACAGCTGTGGAGATGGAGATTGCGCAGATGCTGGAGGAGAACTCGAGGATCCTCAAGTTTGGATACCAGTTTACCAAGCAGGGGCCGCGCACCAGGGTGGCAGCTGCCATCACCAAGAATAACGACCTGGGTAATGTCCCTGTTTTGGTTGTTTTCCCATCGTGGGCCACAGTACCTGGCCCCACAACTCAGGGGAGAGGTTCATTTTGGCTCACAGCGTGTAGCGTTTCGATCCATGGTCGGCCAGCTGCAAGGCAGGGCGCATGGCACAGAGGCCTGCAGGGGAGGTTGCTCACGGCATGGCAGGCGGGACGCAGAGCGGGAAAGCAAGGAGGAGGGAGAACAGACCCTCCCGGGCCGTGCCAGTGGTGAGCCACCTCCCACCATCACACCCAGCTCAACCCATCCGTGGGCTAACAGTACAACTCCCACGATCCAGTCACCTCCCCAAACCCGTGCCTGTGAACGCACGAGATTTGGTGGAATCTGGGTACCTAACAGCCACCATCCTGTGAGCCGGCAAGGCAGCGAGAGTGTGCTAAGGGGCTCCGTGTCCTCTCCGCACACTGTTCCTCGGGCCTAGGCTTCACGTCGTCTTTCACCAGAGGCAGATGGTTAGGGGGTCGTCGAGGCCTTGCAGTTCTCATGGGGCTGAAGTTTCAACACTGTGTGTTTATTTCCTAGGCGGCTTTCTGTGCTTGCTTGGCTTCCTTTGTGCCTCTTTGTTCCTTTCCTTGCTTGCACATGGACTGTGCTCTGCTATCTGCACCGAGAAGACATAGCCTATTCTGCTATGTCTGAGCCTACCTGTGCTTTTCAGTACCTGGGTTTAAATATGGGTTTGTCAGATGCGACATGTGCGGTAAACGAAGGGTGCTACGTAACAGATGTGAAGCTCAGAATAGCTTTTTCCTTAGCCCCTCTTAAATCTGCCAGGCTGCCACGTCTGGCTCGGGAGCTGAGCCATTTCTGCCGTTAGGATGACATGGGCACGTCTCGATCAGCTGCAGCATGGAAGACTGAGACCAACTATGAGGGCTCCAGCTAGGGACATCCCAGCCTCCTGGGGCAGCTCTGCAAAAATACATGGAGGAGCAGACAGTCCCCTTGGCAAGCAGCCAGCCTGCTAGGAGACACATCAGTCCCCAGCTTGGGTTCAGGGGCAGCATGCCCAGCCCTGGGCAGGGAACAGGGCGAGGGGCTCCTCCTCCCAGCGTGGCACTGGCCACACAGGATGGAAGCGCAGGTGGGAGTCGGAAGGGACAGGTGAAGGTTAGCCCAGGTGTGCTTGGCCCAGAGCAGTGCTGCGAGCTACGTGGCATTTGGAGGCTGGTAGGGACAGGTAGTATTTGCTTGCAGGCACCCTGGTGAGGCCGCCCACAAGGCCAAAGCAGTGATCAGACAGTGCATGGGAGAATCGCATCCGGTTCTCATCTGAATGACACAGAAAACAGGCAAAACAACAGGCTTGCAGGAACTAGAAAGGCAGTCCTGGCCCTTGGTCAGTAACTGCAGGCAGTGGCTTCTCCTAGTCTCCTCCAGCTGGGCTGTGGGGAGTGCAGAGTTGGGGCAGGACCTCCACTGAATCCAGAAAGAACAGCAGGAGAGCTCAGGGGCAGGCCGGTGATAGACTCAAAGAGGGTGGCAGAGGTGGAGCTTGGGCAGCCTGGTACCCTCTTCAGTGTCAGAGCCAGCTCAAGGGAACCTACCACTCTGAGTCGGCTCGCCACCTGAACCACATCTCTCGTGGAGGTTAACTCCTAGGAGTTTTATTTAGATGAGGTTTAAACACTGACCTGTCTGTAGAAGGCTGGTGTCCAGCCACCACCGGAATTAATGGGCTGCGATTGTATTCACCTGTGAGGTTCGTGAAAGCCAGCCAGTGACTGCATTGTATGGGGCTGAGAGAAAGACGTGCTGAGGACAAATGAATCTCTGTTCACAGAGAGGGGCAGGTTCCCAGCTGTCAGACACTGTAAATTCCTCCAGACACTGGACTTAATTGAACGTTTGCACTTACTGCCATGATTTGTTAAATAATGAAGTTTAAGATCATTTGTAGCCTCAAGTGTGTGGGGTTGCTGTTTTGTAAGATTAGTGTTGTTTGGAATTTAAAGCCTATGCCTTCCTTCAACTTGTCTTTTTAAACTTTTCTCTGTCACATAGTTCGAAAGAAGAGGGTTGAAGGAGATCGAAGGTAAACGTCCGCGGGAAGAGGTGAAATTTCACCACAGAGCCATTTAAAAGCAGATACAAGTTCCTTCTCCATGGGACCATTTTGTCAGAGTTGTTCATTTCCGTTAACCACACAACTGATGATTCAATTGCTGGTTTTTTGTTTGTTTTTGTTTTGGAATTGCTTGTGTAACTGGGATTCTCCCATGTGTAGTTGTTTCCTTGCTTCTGGGCACGTGGGGCAACTTGCCCAGATGGACGCAGGTGTTAGAGCGACTGTCGTGGCTGTGGTTTAACCACTTCGTGCTGCCTGGCCCTCTCTTTCTTACGTGAACTCTTTTAACCACGGAAAGGCATTTAATTTATAATGTTTTAACTGATTACAGGTGAGGCCTACCTCTGTTTACACGCACAGCTTCGAGTTAGGCTAAATATATATCCAGTGTTCTGCTTACCGCATGAGAAGTTAGTGTTGCCAATCTTTCACTGGGTGAGAAAATGTGACCCATTTAGCACAAATCCCTTAGTTGGAGAAAAATCCCTGTGGGCCGGGATGTAGCTCAGTGGCTACTGTGGCTACTGCACCTGCCTAGCAAGCGCAAGGCCCTGAGTTCGATCCCCGGTACCCAAAATTAAAAAAAAAAAAAATCCCTAAGCGCACACATCCAGCTGATCACAGGTGAGACAAATACACATGGCCATTATGAAACAGTAAATGATAATGTACTTTGGAATTTTTTAAATGATACGGAAGACGATAGTCATAAATACTCACGATACTCCCCTGTGCTCCTTCCGATATTCTGGAGATCTGTGTGTCTGCAGGAGGAAGTACCACGTAGGAGTGCTCTCTCATGCGGCTATTCCAGGTGGTGTTTAATAACTTCTTGCCTGAGGTGGAAGTATTTATGCTGTGGAACTTAGTGATGTGTTACAAATTGGGACTTTCCCACTCTTAACTGCAGTTATCAGCAATGCTGGGTGAAGAAGATACAATGTTTAAATTTATCCCTTTTGGTTACCTTGTTGCCAATGGGGTATTATTGCCCCGAGTCTTTCTTGCTATCCTCCTGCTTGTTAGAGCTCCGTAAGTGGGGATCTCATGGGGCTCAGCTGAGCCTGTCCTTTCTCTCTCACTCTTCTCTGCCTTCACCCGGAGAACCGAGAACCCTGCAGTGCTCCCCACAGCCGCAGTGTTAACAAGCCTTGGCAGAAAGCGAGAAAAAATTTAGAATTGGATCATGGCTATGCCACGCATACAAGCAGCTGTTGATAATGTCACTGCAAGTGAGCGGAACATTGCAAAAATGCAGCACTGTCTTTAGCTTATAAAATAGTTGGGTCACATATAATAGAGTTTATGAGGTCAAATATTTATTAGTGATCACTTTGTCTTGTTATTATCCATATTTGTAAAGTAGGCTGACAGGTGACTTTCCAGGAGTATTTGCATGTTGAAGATGACTGTTAGAAGATAAACGTACATTTTGGGGAACCTATCAGATCATTTGATTACGCCTTCATCTCCCATGTGCCCAAAGTGAATGAGAGGAAATTTGTTCCTGATGATTAGCATGATTGATCCCTTACTTTCTATCACGATGGGGCATAATGTAAATATTTTTATATTTGACGTGTATGCTTTGCTCAATACTTTGTTGAGCTATTTGGCAATACCTGGACACCCAATTGCAGGGACCCATGCCCATCCCCCCAGTTAGAGTTGTGCAGTAAAATCACTCCCTTGGACTCGTCCCCAGCACCTGTCACAGCAGATGGGATGTGGGAGAGAAACCTTCGTGGTCCAGGAATCCTGGGACGAGCGCAGCCCTACCTCTCCCATCTGCCCCAGGTGTGGTGGAAGCGCTTTCATCCTTAGCGTGATCAACTCCTTGGCGTCATCTTTGGCCGCATCATGTAAATACGTGGGGTGTGTGTGTGTGTGTGTGTGTGTGTGTGTGTTTGTGTGTGTTTTCAGATATCCAAGTAGGTATCTGGCTACATCTGGACACCTGATTGAAGGGAGATGCTCTCCCCCAGGTCCTCTTTCCCTGCCCTCTGTCAAGTCGCTGCAGGCCCAGGCCCAATGTGAATCTACCCTGAAATCTGTAGTTCGTCCCCAGCCCTCATGTCTCCCAGCTGCATGGAGAACGACTCTTAGGAAGTAAATGTAGCAGCCTAGAAGTCACCTCATGGTCCAGCATGAAATTGTCCTGTGTGCCTAAAGTGAAGTGTGCAGCGTTTCTCCCGCAGCATCACAGTGAAGCCCTCCTCCCACTCCGGGGCACACTGCATATCAATATTTTGTACATAAAGATCAGAAGATACGGTCCTGGGGTGTTTGGCTCCCTCCGGACCACCGAGTGAAACGAGGCCTCGCTCCCAGCCTTGTTTCTTCCCCTCTCAGGGTCTAGAGGGGTGCCCAGGGCTCACCCACCTCGCGCCTCACCTTCCAGGAACAGCCCTCAGAGCCACCCTCGGGGTGACCAGCTCGGCAACCCATGGAACAGCTGCCGCAGGAGAGGGGGTGCGTGGGAGGAGCCAGCCACATTCCCCAGCACTGGGGAAGCCGCTGTCCCCAAGTCACTGCCTTGAGAACAGTTATCGATGCTGGAAACCTGACAGGTGTGCAGCACCACATGCTGGCCAGTTAAAGATGGTCCTGGGGGTTACAGAAGCATTTGCAAATACTTCCTTCTGCACGGGTAAGATGTGGTCAGCTCTCTCCTAGCTACTGCGGAGGAGAAAGAAGAAACAGAATCGTGGCTTGATAGAATTTTCTGGTTTGGGGTTTAGGGGTGGACGGAGTGCCTCTTTGCAAAGTAGACGCCCTCTGTAGTTCAGTTCTTGGTGGCCTCGCCATTGGTGGGCACAGGACAGGGAGCTGTGAACACTGGTTTCTGTGGTATGTTGCCTGGCTGGGTAGAACTGTTGCTGGCGTCAGGTTGTAAGCTATGAACCTGAAGCTCCCTTCCCCACTTCCTGTGATGACACAGTGGTCACTGTTTCCCCTTTAATGATCGGAGCTCTAAGAAGGAGAGTCCTGCACTGTGTTCCCTAGTATTTTCTCTTTCCTCCTCATTGTTTCTCACCTCCACTTGTTCTCAAAGCTAAAGGACAGAGACACGGGGAAGATGTGCCGTGCTTACACCACCTGGCTGGGCCCTCTGGACGGACAGCTCACTGTCAGCCCCTGGAACCAGCTGGCCAGGAAAAACTGCTCAGCGCCCCAGAGATTCTGCACTGTGTTCTTGGTCCCCAACTTGAGATCTGATTGGTTTTGCTTCGTGGTTCTGGAGTGGAGTGGAGTGGAGAGGCTGGCTGACAGGAGGAGGGAGCACAGAATTAGATTTACATTCATTTAACGACAGAACCGGGCTCCACCCACTCACCTCTTTCCCAGATGCTTTTCACGGTAGCGACTAAACAATCCATGATGGGTTTGCAGGGTTTAAATCTGTGATCTCGCTCTGGGTACTGTTCTAATAGCAGTACGCCAGGCAGGACTCGGGCCAGTTTGGGACTTGGAAGAAGGTGCAGGAGAGGGTAACGAGAGTGAACAGCTAGCCAGACTCCCCGTGGTGCCTGTCACCCACGGCGGTCACCCTGAGGACAGCGGCTCAGCTGGCTGGGGGGGCAGAGGACAGAGGACTGAACCCCATCCCCAACACTTAGCAGGTATCTGATCATGGGCAATTCATTCAATTGCCCCAATTATAGACTCTCCAGGGGGAAGAGCACCAGATTCAGAGTCGGGAGACCTGGACATTCGGCACCACACTTTCCAAGTTTGGTGGCTCTGGCGAGCCTGTGGGCTCTCAGGCCTGAGGTTTCCCAGCCATAAAGTGGGAGTGGCGCCTTCACTAACTACCTCAGAGCTGCAGTGCGACCGTCACCGGATTAGTGGGTGAAAACGCAGCAGAAACTAGGAATAACTGCACCACAGTGGGCGGTTCTTGTTACTATCAGCTCATGAACGTGTCCCACTGCGTCTTGGCCCTGCTTTATTCTGAGCGAGAGTGACATCCTCCAGACCTTTGGAGAAGGGGGAATTGCAGCATGGTATGACAGAGGGACTAGAATTATTTCACTTGCACCCCAGATGGGAGAGAGGGCTTGATGGCAGGGGTGTGCAAGATGAGGTGTTTCCCTACGCCGTGTTGACAATACCTTGGCCAGAATCTTTATAGAGGGCTTAGGGCTGGACATAGGAGGTAGTGGACAGTGGCTAAGAATTGAGAGAAAGATCTGAGGCACTGCTACCTTCCTGGGAGGCTAAGACCCAAGGTATCACTGGGGGTCCGGGGGGGATGGCTGCCTCTGGGCTCCCAGAACTGCCTGCCTACAGAGCAGCAGTGTGATGGTGCTAGCTGTGAGGCAGACGGGGACAGAGTGCCACCTGTCACGATCAGCTGGCCAGGGCAGCAGCTTCCATCACCAGCAACCCCCCCCCCCGGCCAGCAGTTTCTGCTAAGGAAGGAAAGGACTTAGCATGGCCTCGGGGTCTTTCATCGGCACTTGGAGGCAGGAAGCTTCTCCCCAGTCTTTGTATCTTTCGTACCATCTAGTAAGGTGCCTTGTACATAGTTGGTGCTTAATAAATGTTGCTTGCGCTTCACTGGCCTCCAGTCTCACAAGAATTATGCTCCATTGGCCACCAGGTGATATTTTTAGAAAGCAACAGTGATTCGATGCCAGCTGCATGCAGCTGTGGGCAGGGTCCTCAGCCATCTGTCCTTCCTTTCATCTGGGAGTGGACTACATGGTCTGTCTGTCCCTTCTGCCTCCCAGACTTGCCACCCTGTGATCCTGAATCATTCTCGTTGCCTCTCACTGGTGCAGGCAGGGCTCCCGACAGCTTTTATTGTCTTTGGTTCTGGGTGTGCAGTTCTGGATTTCTCAGAAAGAATAAGGTAGGGCTGGGGATGTCGCTCATGATAAGAGAGCTGGCCTCACAGGTGCAGGCTGGCTCTGCAAAATGGAAAAAAAAAAAGAATGTTGAAGGGAGGGGTGGGACACCAGAGAGGTTATTTTAAAACATATTATATTTTCTCCCCAGAATCAGTGGGAAAAGAGTGGTGGATGCTGAGATAGCACAGCTGGTTCTCCGTGGGCTTCTCTGTATGTATGTGCGCGTGTACGTGCGTTTCTGAGCACAGGCGGACTGGGCAGCACAGAGCAGCTGGCCCAGGATGGAAAACTACAGTTAACTTCAGTGTGGGGAGATAGGAATTGGCTGTATGGCGAAGTGAGATGCCGAGAAAATACACTTTGAAAGGGAATTTTATTTTAGCACCAAATGTTGTCAGTGACAATCTTTAGTTAAGAAAGAAATGATTCTCACCTAAAATTCTAATCTTTGCCATTTTGTTTTGAGGGGGAAAAATTCTATGTACCTGGAAGACAATACTTATATTTTAATTAAGCCTTCACCTTAATTCCGTTTCATTTTTGTTTCCAGGAAAATGAACAAGCAGCATTTTTTTCCTTTGCATTTGAAAATGTAAAATACTTGCATGCCACTGACCTGTAATATCTTTCCAGTTCAGATGCCTGTAATGCGTGACCTTTTGTATATCGTTCAGTGTATTGTTTTTGAAGAGAACAAAACAAATAATACTTTCGTAAACTGTAAATGGTTTAAACTTGTATTGGCAACATCTGTTTGGCTAAGCAGTTATTGAAAAAAAAAACTCATGTGGTTTTATTTCATTTGAAACTTTCCCATCAAAGCTAGCCAACTGGTTAGGAATTAAAGACTAATTTTCCAGGGCTGGGATGCAGCTCAGTGGTAAAGCGCTTGCTTTACCTGAGTGCAATCTCCAGCCCTGAAAAAAGAGAAAAGAGAGGCTAATTTGCCCTTTAAATGTGAAGTTGAACATTTGTGGTGAATAAATGTGTAAAAAAGCAAAATGTATGAAGTGTAAAATATTATTACTCTGCTAACCTAATAGGGACCCCGGTTGGCCCACAAAGGTGCAATATTTGGCCCTTTGAAATTAGCCCCAGACCTAATGCTAAGGTAACTGTAAATGGTTTCAATTAACCACAGCCTTTCTGCTTTCAAAGATGTGACATACTCATTTGTGTTTGGAATGAGGCTTCTAAATGAAAATGTAAAGAACATTGGGAACTAATAAACAACGTCAAAAGTGGAAGTAAAGACTGTTTTGTCTGGCTAGTTTTTAGACAGTGTCTCTTCAGAATAGCTGGGAGATGTCAGGCTCTTACGTTAAATGAGCACTTTGCAAATAGAACGACAAAGTTCCTTAATACAAAAAAAAAGTAAACCATCACAAGTAGCCACAAGAAGTAATGGGAACTTGTTATCAAAACAAAAAGATACACATCTGATGACAGAGTTAAAATTTGTCAGAATAAATGAGAATAGGAATATAGATAACTAAATATGTATAGTTATGTATAAAACCTACTCTGGGAACTTGGTAACACTAAACACTAAAAATAACAAAGTTACATAATAAAGGTATGACCTGGTAAAGCCATATTTCCTGACTTCCTTTTGAACTCTGTCCCAACTTTTTGATCCCTGAATTTTTATCATTTAGGCCAATAACAAGGTCCAAAAAGCATAGTGGGTTTATTTCTAGTTTCTTTTCTTGTTTCACACTTTTTTTTGAACAAGGAAATATATTGCTATCTTGCATTGTATAGAGGATGCTCCCGTTCCGTCTGGACCTTGTAATGGACAGGGGTTGCATTTTGAACAATCCAGCCTGTGTCTTCATCTGTAAAATAGAAAGAGTGACAGGAATATGTCACAGTGGTGTCATCGCTGGGCAGGGTGTGCACAGCACGTAGAACAGAGCCTGGCATGTAGAAGGCACGATCCTAAGTACTAATAAATATCCATTGGTATTAATGCCAGCACAGGTCTCTGCTTTATGCCGACAACACCAGGAATTTAAACAGGACCAAAGGAACTGTGAAGGAGATGCACCCCCACCCCACCACTCAGCAGTCCCTGCCCCCAGCTCTACTCCTCCCTTCTCCCCAGGGCTGCACTCTGCTGGGCTTGTTTTGCTCTCCAGCCACCCTCTTGGATTTGACAGTCTGGCTTCTGAAACAAGCATTGAGTTTCAGAACTGTTTTGTCTTAGGCTGGCTCTGCTCTGGCCTGCCCTCTCTCAGCTGGAAAGTTCAAATTCTTCTATGGTGAACCAACCCACTGCCCAGGATCCCAACACACTGCCCAGTTCTACCAGGAGGGAACACACGGTGTTGGACACCCCCGGCCTCTAGCAACTGTCCCACCTGTCCAGGACCTCTGGAGGGACCAGATGTATGTGTGATTAAATGCGACTGGTTAAACAAGGTAGGAAAGTTGTGCTAGTGCATGACTCAAAAGGTGTGGAGGGCTATGCATGGTGGCGCACACCTGTAATCTCAGCACTTGGGAGGCTGAGGCAGGAGGATTGTTGCTAGTCTGAGACCAGCCTAGGGTACATAGCGAGTTCAAGGCCAGCCTAAACTATCGAGTGAGACCCTGTCTCAAAAAAAGCAAAAACAAAAACAAAAGAAAGATGTAGAGGGCTGAGTGCACACCTGTGGTAATCCTAGCTGCTCACGAGGCTGAGGCAGGAGGATCACAATTTCAGTGACAGCCTGGGCAAGTTAGTGAGACCGTGTCGCAAAATAGCTGAGGATATAGCTTGCTGGTAGAGTGCTTGCCAAAAATATGAAGCCCAGAGTTCAACTCCTGTTGTATATAGCGCACATGAAACCACTCGTTTAAATAAACTTTTGAAAGAAAAGTTCATTCCAGTGAACAGATACTAAAATCAGGGACTAGAATCAGGAGATTCTTACAGCTCTTGGGAAAAGCTGAGTTTATCACATCCGTGTGGGGATGGGTGGACATAGGGGGAGAGAGGGGCAGCTGGCTGGCAGAGGTTTCACCCATGGGTGGCGGATGGGCTGACACCAGGGCAGAGACATCAGCACCTAACTGGGAATCGGGCTTGTGTAGGTATTGAAGGGGCCAAGGAATCATGTGGGGTGAACTGTTGAGGGTTGAATCCAAGAGTGGTCTGCATAGGTGTGTAGAAAGTCACTGGACTTTTTGGTGCCAGGGAGATTGACTTCAGTTTCCTGAGAATTAGCCTGTTGTCTGCTGAAAGCGGCCTGTTTGTTTTCATCCTGTTTGTTTGTGAAGGACTCACTTCGGTCAAGCATGACAGTCCCCAGTGCTGGGGGGAAAAATGTGAGGTAAAGGAGCTAATTCTACAAACTGTACACGTGAACAAAACTTTAGAAAAGTATATCATCCACTTTGGTGGTTTTACAGCAGTGATCTCTAAAAGCTAGCATGGACTCCCTTCAAACAAACAAGAAACATAAAGAGTAAGTTCAGAGGAACGCTAGTTTGCAGCAAGACAGCCTCATGTCTTTGAGAAATGTGGATTGTGCAAGAGTGCAGCCAACAGTTCGAAGACTAGTGTAAACAGTCCTTTTTGAATGAAGGGAGTAATTTGGACCCCAAATGCTGGGTAGCCATGGTGGGACTCGCTCCTTGATGGGACTCATTAGAAATGTATCAGCTATTTGTATGGAATGTGGACAGCTCATTGAGGATCAGGGAGAGACAAAAAATACTGCCACAGGTTCAAAAATCTGGCTTGTTAAAGTCCAAGACTGCCTATATCTAATCATATAATTTTGGGGGGGGGATACTGGGGATCAAACTCAGGACCTTGCACTTGCAAGGCAAGCGACAGCACCACTGAGCTAAATCCCCGGTCCCGATCATATAAAATTTAACAAGTTATAATACCATTCTCTCTGTCCTCCCCACCCCCAGCTCTAGGGAACAAACCCAGAGCCTCATCCATGCTAGGTAAGCACTCTACCGCTGAGCTGTACCCCCAAATGCCATCATTTTCTATCTTTAATCCAAACTAATCAACTATAAGATTGGATGGGAAAATATTACTTAATAGTCATCTGAGTGGATTAAGACTGGTGTTTTCATTGACTTCATGTGAATATAAGTAAAATGTCCCTGCCTAAAAGCTATCTTTACCTTAAGTGGCATTAGAAAAAGTCTTGGGATTTGGCCAAAAATCTTCTACTGGCCTTGGCTTTGAGATGTGGCTTCTGGAATGCCTACTCAATATTATTTCCATCATCCTTGAACTTTGGCATGCTTGGTGCTTGTGTGTTCAGAAAGATATTCTAAAATCTTCTCAGTCAGCAGTGTCACTGATATGAACAAAATACATCATTTGCATGCACATCTAGATCCATTTTCTGATACAAGCACATATTCTAGATGCAATCTGAGTAAAGACTATCTGAATTGTTGAAATTCTATCAAAGTATAAATGCATATTAATTACTGGATGAGCAAAATTCTGTAGCAGTTATTACGCTGCTGAATCAGAGAGTTGCCCAGACTGGGCTTGAATTTGCAACCCTCCTGCCTCAGCCTCCCAGCATGCTAGGATTATAGAGCTGTAGCTAAAATACATGTTTTTACAAAAGCCAAATTAAACCAACAAGCAAGTCAAATAGGCAAACAATCAGTTAAGTATACCATGAGAGCTATTTCCTAAAGGAATCCTTTGATAACAAAATATTGCCCCAAGCATTAATTTCCGTATAATGATTCAGACTGAGCATGCTTTGTGAGTTACTCTGGCTGGAACCTTACAGATAACACTAATTAGGGCTTGTAACACATTTAAGTATGGTAGAGTGTCCTCTTATTTATTACTTTTACTTTGTTTTTTGTCTTTTGTTTTTTTGGTACTGGGGATTGAACTCGGGTCCTTGTGCTTGCAAGGCAGGCCACTGAACCGCTGAGCTAAATCCCCAGCCCTATTACTTTTACTTTAACCAAACCCTGAAAACTAATAAGAGCCATCCTCTGTCCTAATTCAAATATTTTACCTGAAGCTATCAGATTTAGTTTCTTTAATACACTGAACTTAACCGTTTTCCATCCCTCTTAGCAGAATTCAGCGCGGGGATGAGCGGGGCCCACACCTGCTTGTCTCACGGAGGGAGTCGCGTTACATAGCTCCTGTGTTTGCCACCGAGGTTCATGAGGCTGGGCTCAGGAATCCAAGACCTGCCTGGACTACAGAGTGGAACTCTGTCTAAGAAAATAAGACCGGAAAAGAAAGAAAGGAACAGCCCCGTCTCCCGTCTCCCTTCGGGGTGACTTTCACCACCCAGTTCTGGGTGTGGCCAGCCCCCTCCCAGCTGGGCTTTCTGTCTGCCCAGGTACTGGCTGGGGGCGAACCTTCCGGGACCCAACATTTCCTGATTTCCAAATGCGCGGGGCAGTCCGCGGATGCCAAGCCCCCTCCCAGCTCAGACTGCAAAACAAGCAGCGGAAGGCCAGCCCGCCACAAGTGCTGGAAGGCTGCAAAGTCAGCAGAGGCCCAATGTCAGGCACAGACCAGAGAAGGCCTTGAGGAGACAACACCTGAGCAGAAGCTCCACGAAAGTGAGCGCGCGGCCAGTTCTGGGCCAAAGAGTACCCTTGTGGCCGGTGGGGAAAGAGCTGAGTAAGGCCTGAGGGGAAGGCACTTTGCTTCCACTTCCAAAGTGATGGAAGCCAGCGCCTGTGAGCAGGAAGCTAACTGATCTGACTTGGTTTTGGAATGTCACCCTGGCTGCTGACAGGGAGGGCAGACTGTAGCAAGAGAATTCTTTTGCTTTTCCCAGCTTTATTCAATACTAGGGTGTCACTTGTAACACTTCCGGTCCATGTGTGGTGTTTAATGGACACGGGTTCAGGAGATTCACCTTCAAAAGCCCTGAGATTACAATCTGATAGTGTTTATCTGCAGAAAACTCACCATCACATGGTTTTATTTTCAAAATAGTAACTAAAACAAGATGCAATATTTGCTAAAGTAGGTGTGGTAGTGCATGCCTATAATCCCTGCACTCAAGAGGCTGAGGCAGGAGGATTACCAAGAGTTCCAAGCCAGCCTGGGCTACACTGAGTTCAAGGTCAGCCTGAACTACATAATGAGATCCCATCTCAAAAAAAATTTTTTTGTTAGGAAACACTTAAATAACTAACAGAATATATGTAATGTACTCCCAACACTTCATATCGGGAGGTCAGGGAGTTAAAGTATCACAGATTCAATCAGTCAGACAATGAATTAAGAGACCTGTCTGACCAAAGACCTGAACAAAAGAAGCTAGATGGTACAAGATGGTCCTTAAAATAAATCATATCAAGATGGCTATGGTCCTCTGTTTTTCTTTTTCTTTCTCCTTTCTTTTGATTTCTGTGGCACTATGGACTAAATCTAGGTTTCTGTCCACGCTAGACAAGTGCTTTATCATGCAGCTGTATCACCCAGACATTTTAATTTTTTTTTTTTTAATTTTGAAACAGAATCTTACTAAGTTACCCAGACTAGCTTTGAACTTGTGATCTTCCTGTTCCAGCCTCTGGAGTCGCTGGGATCACAAGGCATACGCCACCAAACCTGACAGGGCTCGGGGTAGTTCTGAGGACTGAATTTGGGGCCGCTGCACTCAGCAACATTCCAGGTCCTCACCTCCTCCCTTTACACGGTCCTGCTGGATCTCTCATTGTCCAGGCTGTCCAGGCCGTCCTGTCTCAGCCTCCAAGTGATGCCCGTGCCCAGCTCACACTCTGCCTCTTAAGGAACTCCGTTTTACCACTTTCCCCAGGAGTGGTGCCCGGGACACGGAGCAGGAATTCACAGCAGACTTGCTGGAAACTTACTGGAAACCAGAATGGATTTGGTTGCTTAGGATGAAATATAGAACTATTATAGGAATCGACATAAACATCTGCATCTCCTCCGAGTGTGCCAGGAAAGTTTCTCCTAGTCCTTGGACACACTCACAGGTGACTGGAGAACTGGAGATTTAGGAGACACATCATCTAGTGTTCATGCTAGAACCTGAGCCAGGGCACCATGCTTCTCTCCTAGATCTACAAGTAAACACCGGCTGTTTGTGCAAGAGATTTAACGCTTCTGAGTCCTACTTTTCTCATCCGTAGGAATTGAGGATACTAATTTACTCTGCATGGTTGTTTTGAGGATTCGATGAGCTATTATGAATGCAGCATACTGCTTGGTATGTGTTAAGTGTTCAGTAAATATTAGTTCAGCCTGCACTCTGTAGGATACTGCTCTCAGAAAGCTATTGTCTCCAAGGATACTTGAGAGGCTGATTCACAATCAGATGCTGTTGAAAATAAGATGCGATGGCCACAGATTGAATACTGACTGACTTCTAAGAGTATTGCATTTGCAGCTTTTCCTTGAAAACCCAGGTTACCCAGGCATGGGGGCATATGTCTGTAACCCCAGAACCTGGGAGGCTGAAGCAGGAGAACGGCAAGTCTGAGGCCAGCCTGGGTTTACCTAGAGAGCGCAGGCCCAGCTTGGACTACACTGACAGTCTGTCTCAGAAAAATAAAACCAACCAATGAAACCCAAATGATCAGTGATCTTCCTTGCTGGAATTAGTGGGTGCCACTTGCATGAAATTCAGGGTGTTTACTTAATCTGGGTGCTGCCTGGTCTGAGGGTCAGAAGTAGATGCCAGGAGAGGTTTAACCAATAAGTGAAGAGGCTCCTATACCTCAGGCATAGCTGGAATGCACCTCAAGCAGGCTCTTCAGTCCTCTTCCTCCATGCATTTCTGAAAGGTGTATCAAAGCCAGGCCTTGCTCCAGGGACCTGTCTGGTCCTGGAGAGCAGCCAGAACAATCCTTAGTGGTTAACTCTATGAAGGAGGGAAGACACCCCCTTCCTCTTCTCAGACCCCTGCTCTGAGGCCACCATGAAACTGCCCTCTGAGCTATTTCCACAGACACTGACATGGTCTCAGTTCTCCCTCTCCCCAGCTATATGGCTGTGGACAAGTAACTCTGAACTTCAAGGTGTTTTCAGTTTTGGCCTTTATTTTAAGCGCTGGGGACTAACCCAGGGCCCAGGCGTGCTAGGCAAATGCTCTACAACTGGCTAGCTACATACCCAGTCTTGAGCACAGCCTCTGAAACATTTCCTTTCTTACCACCAACTCCCTGGCCCCTCCTGTCTACATGCACTTGGTCCATAAATTTACTTCTTATTGTACTGGAGAACGTTACAGAGTTCTCGCATTGCCAAACCATGACTGAGATTCCATAGAAATGGTCCCCCTCGTAAAGTCATGATAGTCTATTAAAACTCGACGCATGGGCATTTTCTGTAATTTCACAACTTTTTATATAATTGTAACAGGAGCTGGAATTTAAATCTGCTGCAGGTCCCCTCCTGTGTTTTACCCCCCCCACCACCAACCCTACCCCTGCGGGTGTAGACCTGGTGTAGACGCGGAAGGGGCTTGAAGGCCCAAGGAAGCGTCGGGCCGCGCACCGGGGGTGACTTGGGCCTCGCGTGAGCCGGGTTCGGGCCATAGCTTGTATTTGTTTTGCTTACTTTCGCATCGGTCCTTCACAAGTTCACAAGGCTGAGGTCACGTCCTCGCAGTTTTAACCGAGGGTACAAAACCAGTCCTGTCGTGCGCGCTTCTGGACGAATAATCAGTCAATAGGTATTCTGTTTCCAAAGAGCCTGGCGTTGTGCTCCTGGAATCTCGACCGCCGGCGCTCTCTAGCATAAAGCATTTTCTCTCGCCATGCACCCCAAAGCCTAGACCGGGCGGGGCAGCGTCGCGCGCGGACTACAACTCCCAGCGTTCCCCGCGCCGCTGTGAGCAC